CAGCATTCCCTCTATTTTCAGAAGTATTCCATCATAATTTCTTTCATTAAGAGGAACCTGGCTGAATTAGCCGTAGGAATCATATCTTTGCCAAGAGTAAAGTGTGTAGTTCTGAATTTGGTTGTTTATCGATTTCAGACTTTTATGGTGCTACATTATACATAGTTGTATTTCTGTCCGTTTTATTGAATTTCGTGCATCGCTACATGAGGGTTATCCGCGCTAGCCGTTCCTAATTTCGGACTGATAGACTAAAAGGAAGGTAGCTAGTCAACACCACCCACCGCCAACACTTTGGCTACTCCTGTCAGACCGAACAGTGGAATTTGACTCTTATTCTTATAACGCACCTGCGACTCGTCTCAAAGTGTGCAGTTCAATATGTTTATGTTTTTTAACAGTAACAGAACGCAAATTGCGGTTTGTGTGTGTGTGTGTGTGTTTTCTTGTAGCAAAGCCGCATCAGGCTATCTGCTGTGTCCACCGAGGGGAATCGAACTCCTGATTTTAGCGTTGTAAATCCGAAGACTTTCTATTGTCCAACCGAGGGACCGAAAACTACGACACCTCAGCTTCACAGTCCGCTATGGGCCTACAGTTCTAAAAATCACATAACACGTTTTATTAAACTGAAGAACACGTACATGTGTGTGTGTGGGAGTGTATTCTTTTTACTCCTGTATTAAACTGTTTGACTTACAGTGTTATAAACACACACATGCGTCTATTTAAAACAAAAGTCTAAAAAAAACAATTTTTTTAGGATAGCATAGGTGGATATATTTTTTATTTTATCTACTTATGATCCGTAATGCACACAAAGTAATTTCACGAACATGAATATCCGTGTTTTCTATCCGTTCTACTGACGACGACGTTTAAAAAAAAACTATGCTTCATAATCAAAAATTTCCTTTCAAATTGAAAAGCTTACACCATACACATGCCCTTAAATGCATTGTAATATTGATATTAAATGCATAAAAAAGAATTGATATTTAAATATAAGGTTCGTTCTTAAAGTTATTCCTATCTGAAATCCGTCTACAACACTGTAGGCACCGTAGCTTTATCAGCACTCTTAAGCAATAACATCAGTGAGTGAGTTTCGATGTTGTTGTTTTTGTTAGCAAGAAACTCAAGCAGATTGTTAAAACTGAATGTATCTTCCATCCTCTAGAGTTATAATTCCTAATTTAAAACGCTAAAATGGAAAAAGCTAAGAAACAAAAGTCATGTCAAAAAGATATATACATTTTTTATATGATATAACTCAAACTAATGCTAATTGTAGATAATAGGTATAATGACTAAGTTATTATAAGGCCATTATTCATATTTATTAAAACTTATTTACTCTTAAAAGTTCTTATAATTTCTAAAGTTGACATGAAACTACCCTAAGATTTCTATTATGTGAAACTCCCAACCATCCGCCCTTACAAAAGAAATAAAATAATAAATGACCTTAAATAAAGGCCACTATTTATATTTATTAAAATATATATATATATCTTTTAAATAATAAGAAGTCTTTTTCAAATGAGTATTTGATTCACATATCCAGTCCTTTCCATATTTCGCCCCCTGCTGGTACAGCGGTAAGCCTGAAAACTTATAACGCTAAATATCGGTTTTCAATACTCGCAGTAGTCAGAGCACAGATAGCCCAATGTGTAGCTTTGAGATTAACAACAAGTAAACTATATTTGGACCATAAATGAAGCGATGCCACTCATGATTTAAATTTTGAAAGTATTGTTATAATGGTTTCTATTGTTGGTCTGGGGGATATCTTGGATTATTCTGTAAAAAGAAGAACAAGAGAAAAGAAAAGTTTTAACCTGTAACAAATATATTATATATTTTCTATCACAAGTTCCACGATTTTGCATAATTAATGTTCATCGAGAGCTAAGCCTCATTTAATATTGTTTGTTTGTAACTAAGCACAAAGCTCCACAATGGGCTATCTGTGCTCTGCCCACCACGGGTATCGAAACCCGGATTCTATCGGAGCCTTAATTTAATAATACCACTTGTTTTGTTTCGTTTGTCTGAAAATCGTAAAGAGCTATACAGGGGGTATCCGTCCCTAATTTTGAGTTGATAGACTAGAGGGAAAGTAGCTGATAAACTTAAACCACTGATGACTATTTGGATACTCTAATCGAATAGTGAGATTTGTCGTCACTCTTATAACGTAACTACGACCTCAAAGTGCGGGCACCACTTTTGCGGCAATGAAATGCAAACCGTGGACTTTCCGATTCACACTCTGGTACGCTAACCACTGAGCCACACCTAACCTAATTCCACTTCATTGCTACTTTTGTCATACACACACAATACTTCTCGTATTTCTATTTCTTCATCGAAACATTAATTCGATATTCGACAGCAATAAACTTATTTAATAGCTCATGGTAAAAGAAAAATTGACTAAATCATTCACTTACTATTCATTAGCTGGCTAACAGACTTAGCAATCCAATCTAGCCTAACTTGCTTTTTATATATGCCTCAAATTGTTTCTTTCCTAAACTCTGAAAAAGATTCTAGTATTAAAGCAACTTTAAGCACGGTACGTTAAACTTCTTTCCTGCTAAACAACAATACGAATCTTTAAAAACGTCTAGATCAAGAACATAATCTACAACAGTGCCCCCTCACTGGATCGTGAAGTTCCTTGAACTATCCTATTACTCTAATAATATGCAACATTAAGTTTGAATTTCTATAATTAACAATAAAGTAACTTTTGAGAATTACTTAATATTCATAAATGTAAACACTACAATCCTTAAATCATTACTGAAATATGCAAAGTTTGAAGTACAATCACAAATCTAGGTAACAAAACAAAATTTTCTCTCTTACGTTTTTTACTTACAGTTTGTGTTTTTTTTTTCAATCCTTTGTTATTCGTATTTGGATTTATTCTCTGCATATCTTTTCCAGAACCTTTTTCTATTGTGTATAGTTGGTGTTTTTCTGTTGGGCATCAATGCACCCGAATACCATACCATTCTCAGTTCTTCATTAGAATTAAATGTAACGATATTATTTTGAGATTAAAACTTAATCAACTGAAGTGTATTTCGCTTTACCTGGTCTGCTTTTGGTAATGATCATAGCTCAAAAAAGAACAAAAATATAAATGAATAATTTTAATAATTTGGATAATTGCAGACAGCATAATTCACGTACTGGCAAATCAATGAAACTCATTTTAAAACAATTAAAACTTTGTAGTTTTTGTTTATCTTATAACTTTCCTATTTGCAAAATAATTCCATCAATTTTGAGCAAATACATCTGCCTCAGGAAAATTCAAAGAATATTTATTAATCACATTCCGAAAACTAAGTTTTAACAAACATCCTCTCTCTTTTCCAAAAATAGGCCTAGCGTAAATCAACAAACTGGCCCCAATGATAGCAATAAAAGAACCCTATTGGTCAACAAACACTCTGATACCACTGCAAAATAGTCAAGTGTTATTTTTTCTTATTTGTTAGGCTTACATTTGACACTTTTTGCCGTTTCAAGTTTTTGTTTAGTATTATCTTGTTTCAATTTGATGTAAATGTTTACTTATTTTACAAAGAAAAAATATATATATTTCACATATAATTCACATTTTACTTGATATTATCCTTGTATTTATGATTTCGGCTTGAATTAACAATTTAGTTATAGGAACTTACAAAGACCTACAATTATTTAAACAAGATTTGATTATTTCGATGGAGGAATCAAGGCAAGCTATACAAGATTGACACAGATTAATAGTTATGGCTACAGGCTGGCAATGTTTCTGAATGAAATCGAAAGATTCTAAAAATTAGTTTATACATAATCCGACAGGTTCGCTGAACAAAGTTCACAGTTCTGTTTATAGATTCCACTTGATTTGTACTGATGAAAAGAGCTACCAGGTGCGCCGAACTCAGCCCAGAGCTTTATAACAAAAACTAAATATTTTGTAAATACTTTAGTTAGCACTACTTTTAAGCAATTCACGTTTTCTATGCGAATTTTATGTCTTACACAGTTTTAACTTCCATTCTGCCCAAGTAGTCCCTCGATGAGACAGCTGTAAGTTCACGTACGGTTCCTCGCGGTGGACACAGCAAATAGCCCAATGTGGCTTTGTTCAATAATAACCAAACAACACTGTACAAGTTTTCATTACAATGTGAAATTATACTTTCACAGTAGCGTGATAAAATATAAAACTAATCTTAAACATGTTTCCATTTTCCTAAAATTTATTAATATATTCTAATTATTAAAAAACTGTTTCAATACCAGAAAAAAATTACTTTACATTTTAACGTAATTTCATTTAATTTAAAACTTCTAGATGTCGTAAAGTCTTTCACAGTTTGATCATTTATCTCCACATTTCTTTTCTACACATATAGCAACGAACTAATACATTTATCAGATATAAAAATGGTGTGTATCCTATAGCGCGAAAATCCACGAGATGAATGACGCTGTGTCAGTTACTTCGTTTTGTTTACACTAATCCCCTCTTGAAAGTGCGTTAATTCCAAGCATAATTTGTTTGTTTAGTATAATCTTTCTTCCTAGAACATAATCTTCTCAACCAGTTTCTCGAATGTTCAAGGTCAATAACTGCGGTTTTAAAGCAAGTGAAGATAACAAACACTGTGGTGTGATCTTAACTGATGATGTCATTAAGACAAATATTTAGTTTGTCAATCCATAATCTAGGTATTCATATATAAAAAAATGACTCTGGACTCGATTCTGTAGCTGACTCATTATGAGTCCATTTAAAGCTGAACGAAGAATAATATATTACGATTATGATAACAGTGTAGAATATTCAATATAAATTCAGAAATTTTAAAATAATGAATCATTCAATTTTCTAGCTTTGTTTTAAAAATGAAATATTCAATTAGTGTGATAATCGTCCCTAAGAAGATTGTCTAAATTTAATTAAAAAAACAACACAAAGTCGGTTTCAGTGAGCTAAGTTTTTAATACTTCTTGAGCTCTGTACAATATAGTTATTTACTTTTAGAACTTTACTTTGAACATGGACAGTTTTCGGGGTTACACTTGCACTTCTCTTTATCGCTGCAACAATCAGGCTCAACAGATTTGCAGCAAGTGGCTCCCTCTTTACAGCAGTCCTTTTTTTTTTCATCACAACATTCCCCCTGCTTTCCTTCCTTGCAGCACTTTTTGTCAACACAACAGTCTTTCTTGGGACCAGCAGCTAAAGCTTAAGATATAACCACCAATCAAATGAAGATATATTCTTATAAACTACCAATCAAATGAAGATATATTCTCATAAACTACCAATCACATGAAGATGTATTCTCATACACTATGGAATACTTCATACTGCTAAAACGTTATACGACTTTGTTTTTAGTATAGTGTGAAAAATTTAAGTTGCATTTATCAGAAATATCCGTTATTAAGTTATAATAACAGTACGAAGAAAGCAGAACATAAAAATAGAGTAAATTAAGAAAATTGTTACTTATTATTAATTATTAAGGGATGACTTTTATCGCATTACAACTAGTTATTTTCATCTAAACTTCAATTTTTACAGGTGTTTCTCACAATCATGACAAACCCTATACAATCGATTTACAAATTTTACACTAGGAGTGAAATCTAATGCTGTATAACATTTTCCTGACCATGATATTACTGGGAATGGTACCACTATTTAGTTCCTCAAGATGGCCGAATACATTTCTGCTCTGCTCAAATATCACATTTTAAAAAGTTAATTATTCTACTACAACAAATTATACTGTATCTTATAGTTTTATTTTTTTAACAAATAAATCTCTTACTTTAAGGGCATAATTTTTTTTAAAGTTTGTTTCTAAGCACAAGCCCCCCATTGGCACAGCGGTATGTCTGCGAACTTACAATGCTAGAATCCGGGTTTCGATACCCGTAGTGAGCAGAGTACAGCTAGCCCATTGTGTAGCTTTGTGCTTAATTACAAATAAACAAATTCTAAGCACAAAGTTATACAATAGGCTATCTGTGCTGTCCACCAGGGGTATCGTTATAATTCTTCAGACTTGCCACCAAGTCACTGGAGGGGGGTGTGCTTTGTTTGAAAACTATCTTTTAAGTATTATCATGAGTGTAGTAGGTAATATGATCATTCAAAGGTTTTTTTTGTATTTTTTTTATGAACTATTTGTCTGTTTGTCCACCAGAACGACATCTTACTCACATAATGGGCTAAATGACTAGGTCAGAGATCCTATGGTTCAAGCATGGTCGTCTCTAATTTTTACCTACGGATCAGTAGGAAAGCAAACCGGCGCCTGAAGCGGCTACTTTTAACCAAATATCGGGTGTGATTGCCACTATTATAAAACTGAAATTATGAAGAGTGTTCTGTAACACCAAAGTCTCTAACCTGAGACCCTTGGATCTCCAATCTGATACGCTAATCACTAGGCCACGCTCGAGCAAAATTACTAGTGTATTCCATTAAAAAGGAGGATTTCATCTGTACAAAACATAATAAGTTATAGAGAAAGATGTTTGGTAAATTTAACTGTACTAACGTAGAATATTCTATGAACTTTACGAGATTTGAGCTGTTAATGAATAAACTTAGTATTCCGAAAATTGTTTAATTTCGAAGTTCATGTTTGATACTTTTCACTATGATATAGGTCCAGTTTATCTCTCTTTGGTTAATTTGTTTTCAGGGTTACTGGTGAGAAGTGGAATTCTCTGAAACCAGTATAACACACGTTGATCAAAGTGTAGATTGAACTGGACCTCCCTTGAACTTAGACATCAAGATCTAACAATTTTCGGAATACTAAGTTTATTTATTATATCTGCTATTGTGCGGCTATATAATGTGAAAAACTAAATAGTGGCCAATAACTTTTTCTGCACTTCACCTATCCAGTGTATAGGTTTTCCTCAGTGTGAATACAAAGCACGTTCACACCAAAAGTATGTTTGATATTTGAGTTCTTATTACTTAGCAGTAGCCTTTCTTAGATATCAGAACAAAGATCGCAAAGTTCTCCATTTCAAAACTTCAACCAAATACAGTACATGAAATACTTAGTAAAGGTAGACCATTCAAATACATCGAAGGTTTCGTGAAAAAGTAAAGAAAAAAATTCCGATTCGGAACAAGGTTAAGTTTGGGATTCAAAATTTAAAAAAATATGAAATATTAATTTTTCTCAAATGTAATGGTTGTATGAAATGTATATCCACGCTTTACCTACTTGGATAAAATCATATATCTTGTCTGATACTGATAGCAAACTGCAACATCACGCGGCGGTTATCGTTTCCTTGATCATATCCGCCTCTTTCCATGACATTCTAATCATTAGCGGTGTATCATGTTTTCAGTTTTTTCTTTTGGTTTCGTGCCCAGAACGCAACTTCTATTTGATGAAGCTAAAAATCGTAATAATTATACTAAACTGTATATTTTTGATTTTTGTTAAGTACAAACTACACTATGAACTATCAGTGATCAGTCCATAGCGAGTATCAAAACACGCTTTTTAGCGTTATAAACCCTCACACTTACCATCGAGTTTTTTTGGAGGGGACATTTTTTTGAGCTGAGAAAAAGTCTACTTTTCCATGCCTCCAAAAAGCTGTGAAAGGCCCAGTAAGCCATTCGAGCTGGAGACAAGAAATGGTGAAAGAATGGGAGGAAAGAGAGATTCAGTATTTACATTTACAAGGTTCTCAAGCAGGTCCGCAAAGCTATCATGAACAGAGCTACTTCATACTATACATTGCTATAAATGTAGCTACCCACTTTGAAAAGCATTATATAAGTTATAAGAAGAAGAATACGGGTGTGGTTTCTCGGTTCTGTACCTAAACATACACTACGGAAGCATTAGCACTTGCAAACCCGTTAAATTCACACTTTTTCGAGGTGCAATATAAATAAAACAACTATTTCACGATTCCAACTCGTATTATAAAACATACAAGCTCCTATTTCTTACTGTTTACATGGTGGTAACAGAGAGCTAATAAAGTAGAGGCCAAGGAGCACTTTCCGGCGAGTAACTATTCTGCGTAGGCCTACTTGTAATGATTTTGCAAAAATAAGTACAGGAAATAATAACTATCCAAAATGAAGGGAAAGTATAAATGTTTTAGCTTAAGATATAGAGTTTTATTCCATTTTTAGTACAAGAGCTTAAGACTCTATAAAGGCCCACCAGTGGCACAGCGGTATGTCTGCGGACTTACAACGCTAAAAACCGGGTTTCGATACCCGTGGTGGGCAGAGCACAGATAGCCCTTGTGTAGCTTTGTGCATAACAAAAAACAAACAAAAACAAAACAAACAGACTGTATAAAGACAGCGTACCTTATGTGTAAATGTTTTAGCTTAAGATATAGAGTTTAAATCCATTTTTTAGTACAAGAGCTTAAGACTCTATAAAGGCCCTCCAGTGGCACAGCGGTATGTCTGCGGACTTACAACGCTAAAAACCGGGTTTCGATACCCGTGGTGGGCAGAGCACAGATAGCCCTTGGGTAGCTTTGTGCATAACAAAAAACAAACAAAAACAAAACAAACAGACTGTATAAAGACAGCGTACCTTATGTATTTGTTTCTGTTATCGTTCATATATTACAATTTACAGAACTGCTGTAGCAGTGTTGCTAAGTGACATAAGGGCGTGTTGAGTGAAATGTTTTCTCTTCTACTTTATAGGTTATTTCGTACGTAATATTTGAGCTCCATACAATTATGCCAGTTCTCGCTTCCTCACGTGTATTTTCAATGTTCACTATTTTATATATATATATCAGAGTACATTAAATAATTAAAACATATATGTTTTTTTTTTCTTTCAATAAATTAGTTTTATTTTGAGCGTAACGAATGTGCGGAAAATCTGATTTATGTCGCTTGGGAAATATATTAAATTATAATTTTATTTTCTTTACTTCTAAACATATTCGTATCTGTATAAATTTAACTTTGTCATTTTTGACAGTCTTTTTTTTTTAAGGGGGTGAAACTATCTAGCAGCTAGAAAGTTAAAGTTTGTCAAATACTCTTTCGTTGTTCACGTCTAAACAGATAAATTTAAACGGTACAAAATGATGAGTTGGGCTAAATCAACTAAAACATTTTCCAACTGCAAGTAATGTTCAGACGCACAAAGAAAACAAGATGTTTTTGAGCTAGCGTGCTACGACCACATGAGCCGTTACTACAGTTGTACAACCATCTGGCTTTAACCTTACGCCACCAGTGCATGTTGGTCTTTCAATTAAATCTAAATTTAAGCATTTTAGTGAGAAATACTGTCTTTAAAACATTATTCACAATCAACGAAGTTTTAAAATTATCCGTTAGCAAAAATTACTCAGATACTACAGCATAAACTTACCACAGCAAGGTTTAGTTCCAGAGTCTACACTGTCCGACATTTTGTATTAACGAATTTAGTGAAAACAAAATATCCGCCCTCTAGTGTCAAATTATTTTCCAAGTATGATGTCATCTGAGCTCCGTTGCCCTTTTATTTATCCCATGGTTGGGTTTCGTGCTCATAGTTGTGTGCCGGGTGCAATATCGCATATAGGGAACCGATTACAACATATTACACAATACTTCCAAAAAAATGTAAACTTTTGTTGAGCTTATCTGCCGCGCTTATCTTAGGTTATAGTATTTGTAGTATTTGTTAATTTAAAATTATCTTATTAGTTCCCACACAGTCGTAGTATGTTGGTGTACAAAGCACGAGATTGTCATACAAATAATCACATGCTACTTTCAAAGATTAATTCCTTTAATGGCAGGAAATGGTCGTCAAGGCAACAACTTATCAAATACACTTGTGCTTTGCGTCAATTAGATGAGTCTATAGATGTTACAAAAGTCGGCTGAACGATTTGAGCTTTAAAAACTATAAAGTCTCTCAAATTTTTATTCTAATCAAGTGTGTAACTACAAACTTAACTAAAAGAAAAATGTGCTCTAATATCAAACCCAAATACTAAAATAATGCCTGTATAAAACATTGAATATTTTGCGAAAATTTTAATAATTTTTAAGATTTTTATAGTTGTATTAAACCATGAACTGTTTAATATTGAACCCAACTACTAAGCAAAGTACAAAAATAATGCGGCCCGACATGGCCAGGTGGTTAGGGCGCTCGACTCGCCATCTGCGGGTCGCGGGTTCGAATC